CTGTTACCAATGCAGTTGTTTTCTTAATTTTTAATTTGTTTATTGCTAATATATAGATATAAAAATTGAGGGGCTTTGTATTGATCTTCATATCCTACAACCTTGCTGAACTTATGAGCTGTAATAATTGTTTATGTGTGTGTATGTATTCCTTAGGATTTTCTATGTACAAGATCATCTCTGTAAATATAGTTTTATTTCTTACTTTCCAATTTGGATACCTTGCCTTTTATTTCATTTTCTTATCTAAATATGCTGGCTAGAACCTCAAGTACAATGTTTAATAGAAGTGACAAAGTCAGGCATCCTTGTCTTGTTACTAATCTTAGGGGGAATACTTTTAATCTTTCACCATTAAGTATGTTAACTGGATTTCTCATAGATATCCTTTATCAGGTTGAGATAATTTCTCTTCCTAGATTTTTAGTGTTTTTATCATGAAACAGTATTGGATGTTGCCAATATCTTTTCTAAGTCTATTGAGCTAATCATGTTTTTTCTACCCATTATTCTATTATGTTGTGTTATATTGACTGATTTTCATGTATTGAACTAACCTTGTATTTCTGGGATAAATTCCATTTGGCCATGTTGTATAAACTTTTTAATATGTCATTGCATTCAGATTGTTAGCATTTTGTTGAAGATGTTTGTGTCTAGATTCATAGACATGTTCCTCTGTAGTTTTCTTTCCTTGGGGTTTCTTTGTCTGATTTTGGTATCCAGGTAATACTAGCCTCACAAAACAAGTTGATAAATGTTCCCTCCTCATCTACTTTTTTGGGAGAGGAGTTTGTGAAAGGCTAGTCTTAATTCTTCGGACATTTTGTAGACTTTACCAGTGAAGCTATCTGTTCTTGGTCTTTTCTTTATGAGAACATTTTTATTATTAATTCAAATTTTTCATTGTTATAGGTCTGTTCAAATTTTTAAATTTCTTGTATTAGTTTTGTTTGTGTGTTTCTAAGAACTTGTCCATTTCATCTAGGTTTTCTAATTTGTTGATGGAGTTATTCATAGTATTTCCTCATAATCATTTTTATATTTGTAAATTTAGAAGCCTTGTACCCTCTTAAGTATTTGAATCTTCTCTCTTTTTTTCTTTGTCAGTCTAAGTAAAGTTTCGTCATTTTTGTCAATTTTTCCAAAGGCCCAACTTTTGGTTTTGTTCATTTTCTCTACTGTTTTTCTATTCACTGTTCCACTTATCACTGCCACCACTCTAATCTTTGTTACTTCCTGCCTTCTACTTTTCTGTTTGCTCCTTCACATGATTTTAAAAGTAAGAAATTAAGTTGAGCTCTTTTTTCCTAATATTGGCATTTACAGCTATAAATTTCTTTCTAAGCACTGAGCTCACAGATCATACACAGGAGTTTGGGTATTTTGTATTTTTATTTTCATCTCAAATAATTTTATGATTTCTCTTATGATTTTTTCTTTGACCCATTAGTTATTTAAGAGCATATTGATTAATACATTTGTGAATTTACCAAATACTTTTGTTGTTTCTCATTTCATACCATTGTAATTAGAGAACATCCTTTGTATAATTTAAATCCTTTTAAATTTGAGACTTGTTTTTTTTTTTCCCCTCTGATAAAAGATCTGCCTTGGAAAATGTTTCATGTACATTTATAAAAATTACGTTCTGCTGTTATTGCATAGAGTGTTCTATAGATGTCTGTTTGACCTAATTAGCCTATAGTAATCTATTTGCTTGCAAATTTTCTGTCTAATTGTTCTATTCATTATTGAAAGTGGAGTATTGAAGTCTCCAGCTATTACGGTTGAATTGTCTTTTTCTACCTTCAATTCTGGCAAGTTTTGCTTCATGTATTTTGTGGCTATATTGTTAGATGTATATGTACTTATAATTGTCATGTCTTCTTGACATGTCGAACCTTTTATCAATAGCAAATGCCTTTTGTTCTAATGACAGTTTTGTCTTAATATCTGTTTTGCCTGATAATAGTAAAGCACTCTAGCTCTCTTTGGTTACTGTATCTTTTTTTTCCTTTTCTTTTCATAGCATATCTTTTAAAATCCTTTTACTTTCAACCAATCCACTTATGTTGATGTAATTACTTATAAGATAGGATTTATAACTGCCATTATGCCATTTGTTTTCCACGTCTTACGGTTTTTTCTGTTCCTTTAACCTCCATTACTGTCTTCTTTTGAATTAGATGGCTATTTATCGAATGTATCATTTATCTAGTGTATCACTTTTATTCTCTTGTCTTTTTCAATATATATATTTTAGTTATGTTCTTAGTGGTTGCCCTTAGGATTACAATTAGCACCTTAGCATATAACATTTTAATTCAAATTAATAGTAACTTAATTTCACTAGTACATAAAACTTTGTCCCTGTTCAGCTCTGTACACTTTCCCTTTGTGCTCTTATTGTAATACAAATTGCATTGTTATACATTGTGTGCCCATTAAGACATTTATAATTTCTGTGTTATGATGTTGTCTTTAAATCAAATATGAGAAAAAAGTTTCTAACAAAAAACACATTTATACTATTTTTTACATTTGACCCTGTATTACCTGTATATTCCTCTTTATTTGTTTATGTGGATATGAAATACTGTCTAGATCCTTTTATTTCAGCCTGAAAGATACCCTTTGCTGCATTAGTGACATATTCTCTCAATTTTTCTTTATCTGGATATCTCTTAATTTCTCCTTCATTTTTGAAGTATATTTTTGCTGCTTATAGAACTCATGGTTGACAGTATTGTTCTTTGAGCACTTTGTGTATATCATCCTATTACCTTCTGGCCTCCATTGTTTCTCATGAGAAAAGAGCTATTGATCTTATATAGGATTTCATGTATATGATGAGTTATTTCTACTTGCTTTCAAGATTCTCTCTTTGTCTTTGCCTTCTGACAGTTTGATAATGATGTGTCTTAGTGTTGACCTCTTTAAAATGTATCCTACTTAAAATTTGTTGAGCACTGCAATATGGAAATTTTAAAATCAAATTTGGAAAACTTTTGTCCATTATGTTTTCATATATTCTTTTGGACTCCTTTACTCTCTTCTCCCTTTTTGATACTCCCATTATGTGTATGTGGTTATGCTTGATGATGTCCTACAGGTCTTTGAGAACTTATTTGTTTTCCTTTTTGTTCTTTGGATTGGATAATCTCTGTTGATTTATTTTTAAGTTCAACAGTTCTTTATTCTCTCTTCTCAGATCAGCTGTTGAGCTCCTCTAGGGAATTCTACATTTCAGCTATTATATTTTACAAATCCAGAATTTTTATTTGATTTTTTAAAAAATAATTTTTTATTCATATTCTCTATTTGGTTAAACTCCATTTTCATACTTCCCTTTAGTTCTTTATACAGGATTCCTTAATTTCTTTAAATATATTTAAAATAACTGATTTAAAACTTTTGCCTAGTTAGTCAATGTCTGGGCTTCTTCAGGGATAATTTTTATTAATTGCTTTTTTCCTGGTGTATGGGCCATAATTTAATGTTTCTTTGCATGTCTTTCTTTAAAGTTGAAAACTGGACATTTAAAGTTATATAATGTGACAACTCTGGAAATCAAACTTCTCCCATCTTAGGGTTATTTGTTATTGTTGCTTGTTGTAGCTGTTACTTGTTTAGTGACTTTTCTGAACTAATTCTTTAGTCTGTATTCTTCATTGTATGTGGCCACTGAAGTCTCTACTTAGTGGTTAGGTAATGACTGGTTAGAGATTTCCTTGAACACCATGCCTGGAACCAGCAAGTCTCCTAGTCTGTGCCAAGGGGTTCTGTGTGCATGTTGGGGAACACTGTTAACATTCTGTCAGGTAGTTACAACTGTGCCTTAACCCTCACTTTCTGCCTATGCAGAGCCTGGGGTTGAGAGAGTTTAGGGCCTTCTCAGGTATTTCCTGAACATATGCTTGGCTCAGTATGGGTGGCCTTCTAGATTCCCAGAAATGTGTAGGAACTTGTTAAAGCCTGTATAGTCATCTTATGCCCTAGCTTTTCCTTTTAGGTTTTTGGTTAGTGTATTATTTATCCCAACTATTATCTACTAGACAGCCACAAAGTACCTATAATTGTTTCCAGCAAATGTCCCCCATGGAAATACCTTTTTACACTAAGCAACCTATAAATCAGGTGAAATGTAGACTGTCTGCAAGTGGCATCTTCTAGTGAACCACAGGATAGATCTAATAATGAAAATTCTTTTGGAATAAGGCTTTGAAAAAGCTTTTCAGGTGTGTCCAACCTTTGGCATTTCTGCATTACACTGGAAGAAGAAGAGTTATCTTGGGCCACATATTAAATACATTGTGACACATAATCACACAAAAACTTCATAATGTTTTAAGTAAATTTATGATTTTATATTGGGCCACATTCACAGCCATCCTGGGCTGCATGTGGCCTATGGGCCAGAAGTTGGACACCCCTGCTTCTGTTCCCTCCAGGCTGTTTTTAGGGCAGCTGCAGAGGGAAAGAGCAGGGGATGGGACTGAAGCAAGGTGAAACACTCTGGACATTAATATAGTGTTGCTGTTCTTGCTGGGACTCAGCATTTTCTCTCAAATAAATCTGTGTATTTTATTACACAGATATTTATTACACAGGTATTTATTAAGATGTGGAAAACAAATGGCAAGTCTTTGATTTCCAGAATTTTGAAGAAGTTGATTCTGACAATATTCTGTTGCTTTTATGAAGGAGAGAATTTTCATAGGTCCTTATATTACTGGTTTTGCTGGTTCCAGTTCATATATTTTAATGCTCTCTTCTGTGTGTGTGTTCTTTTTCTCTCAAATGTGTGCATGTTAAATTAAAAAGTTTGTAATCAGGGTTGCAGAAGACCTTGTGGAGTAGTCACCAAGTGACGGGCTGTGGGTTGACTGGAATGATGCCACCCTCTATTAGACAGAAGGGCCTAAGGACTTATAGGATATCAGCCCCACTGGGATCAGGAACTCTGTCCTACCATCCCTGTCTCTTTATGTCTCCAGGTTAAAGCTGCCAGGGGCTCAACTGTGCTCACATGGATGGGACAAAGACCCGACAGCGAAGGCCAGGGGAGCTAGGGCTGCCATATACCCTCAGCCCAGGAAGACTCCCAGCAGCCTCAGAAGATGGATCTCTGAGTGTCCCTGAGAGCCAAAGGGTGGCCACTAAATCACTGAGTCCTGAGCTCAGCAGGGAGACTGCCTTGTCCATTGGCTTTCAGGTGACAGTGCCCTTCATGTTTGCAGGCCTGGGACTGTCTGGGGCTGGCATACTTTTGAACTACTTCCAGGTAAGAGGGGACTAAATGTGTTTGATGGTGGTGGGGGCACTGCCTAATGTCACCCTAAAGAGTGGCAGCTACATATTGGGCTCTGCTTGAGGAACATGGGGCAGGGCTTGTCTTCTCAAATACAGCTTTTCTATAAATTGGTAAAGGTTCTTTTAGTTACTGGTGACAGAGACTAAAGGTGACCTACGTGAAGCTTTGAAAGACAATTTATAAGCTCCTATAATTGAAATATCTAAGAGGTTGAATGTAAAGTATGGCATAATCCAAGTGCTTACATGACATCAGGATGCTGGCTCACTCTTTCTCTCTCAACTCTGGGAAGGGTGGCCCTTGGCAACCTATCCTTCGTACTTTCTTTTTAAAGAGAGAGATCTCTTTGTCAATATCCACATCAATCGCCAAAAGTTTATCCTGATGTCAAATATTCACTCCTATTTGGCCACTGTTCCCTGAGGGATGGCATTCTCTGTTTGCTCAGCCTGACTTATGTTGTCATTACTCTTGGAGGGGAGTCAGGTCCCCTTGGTTTACACCTTACCAGAATCCCATAGAGTGAGGAACTGAGAGTTACCCATCAGACAAAAAAGTTATCCATGTACCATATTTTCCTCTTCTTCCACTATCAAAGTCCCATTCCTTTCTTCCGCATGATCTATAGAAGTCTTCCCCAGAAAAGCATAGTACCCAAGAATACTTTAATTCATTACTGGCTAGATCTTTCCTATTAACAAAGATTGTCTTGAGTGGGGCAGGCTGGGAGAAGCAGGGCAGACACATCCAACAGTCCCCATGTCTGCCTCACTCACAGGGGCTCTGCACCCCAGGGGTCTCTGTGCCATGTCCCTCACTGATTTGGTAGCAGTCAAGGTTTGAATTCCAGTCTGCCACTTAGCTTAAAGACTGGTGGTTTAATTTTTATAAAAGCAACACTTAAAAATTATGACAATTTATGTAAAAATCTGAATTCCTATTTTATCTTGAAAACATGACAACTCTTGAAACATTGCACCCACATTCTCTCATGGCCACAATCAGTGATTGCTGCCCACTCTAGGTGTCCATGTTCTCTGGTTTGCCACAGTTCCTGCCACTCCCTCTTACACTATCTCGCTTCACTCTGTTACCTGCCTGGCCCTGCCCTCAACTGAGGTTCTTAGTGACACTCCCAATACCCGAGCTGTCCATTTCCTCATAACAGCACAGCACCAGTGACTGCCAGCTCCACTCCAGGGTTCCACCTGGACCTTGTCAGGCCCCAGAATAACTGTCTCTTGGAATTCCTGTTCCAGTTTGATTCAGTTCAGTTCTCTATGTTTGGTCTCTCTGTGACTGCAGACCCTCAGCCCTCTTCCTGCCAATGACCTGATGCCTTCTAGCCCCACACTTTTCTTTAATCTATGGTCAGTCAGCACTGCTATAACCTCAAGAGCCCCTCAGAACCTGGCTTCCACGTCCCAGGAGTTATACATCCCAAAGATTTCCTCCCATGAGTTCTTTCTTCTCTACCTCACTGCTACCTCCCACCACCCTCACCACAGCCTTCAGCCTCCAGCTTCCTCACTTCCCTCCTTACCCTGGCCTTTCTTCCTGCAGTTCATTCTCTATGCCAGTGCTTTTCAAGAAATCTATTTCATTGAGTGTTTCTACCAGGATAACATAATGAGTATGTGTCCTTTATATGCACACACACATATTGGTACACATTCCACACATTGTATCACAAACATATGTATATTTAGATGTACATTGACATTATATTTATATGCACATTCATATATATAAATCCCCTATACATATATACATTGGTTTAGAAATTAAACATACAGATGCATGCACATACATACATAGGTTTATAAATTACACATGGGGAGGCAGTGTAATAGTATACTGTATTGCTTAAGAGCCCAGATCTTGGGGCTAAATTAACTGGGTTTCCGTTTGACCTTAGTTACTTAAACTGGTTGCTCTGTATTCCCCAGTTTTCTCTTCTATAAGTCAGAACTGACCCTACAAGGTTGTTAAGAGGGCTGTAAAATGCTTGTAATAGTGTCTGGGATTAGGAAGCACCCAAGGAGGGTTAACTGTTGTTATTGTTTTTATTTGTAGTCTGTCACTTCTAGTGCTGTGCTTATTTTTAAGAACTTACACAAAAGGATAAAAATTAAGCATAAATATTCATTCTAGCATTTCTTCCCTTCACCATTGGATTGTCTGCATCCTACACAGGGGTCACTGCCTGAGTATTGTGTCAGGGGAATCTTCACGACTCAGATCTTTCTGAATTGTAAAATTTCTGTTGATTTCTCTAATGACAATGGGTAAAACCCAGACTCCTAGAATGGACATCTGACAGTCTTAGGCTCACATCAGCTGTATCAATTTGGATGGTTTTAGCATCAAACACCAGAAAACATGACCAATATTGGGTTAAATAAGAAGGGAATATGTTATCTCCCAAAAAGAGATTTTCAGGACAGGGTGATTCCTGGGTTGGAAAGCGATGTCATCACCAACCAACAATACCTCCAATCTAGGATCGTTCCAAATTCCTGCCAGATCAGCTTTGTTCTCATGGCCACATCCTGTCCATACAGAGAGGCGTGGGCCATCTGTTCTGATTCCTCCCTCTTAAGCATAGGGATACTTCCCAAGGAGCCCCCAGCAGAGCTCCCAACTTTTCAGTGGCCAGATTTGAGGCACATTCTACTTTGAAACCAAACACAGGTAAAGGGAATGGAATGGCCATAACTAGCTGGGTCTGACAGCTGAGCAGAGGAGAGGGTCACCTGTTCCATGAGGTGAGTTCCTTTCTGTACTTGGAGTCTTGTGGGGAAGGATGAAAAGGGTCACTGGTTCCCTGGAAGCTCAGTGCTGGCATAACTGCCATTCTGCAGCTCCATCCAGGGAGGCTGGCTTTTCTCATTTGGGTTGTCCCCTCCCTGCGTCTTCTTTCCTACTAACTATGAGTGGACTATACAAATCTGAATTCCTATTTCATGTAAACTTGTCATTCTCCCTGACCCAGGTCACATAGGCAGTCTTTCATGGAGCCTTTACTTAGGTACTAGCCCAACATTTCACCTTCATACAGGGCATCGCTTCTGCATCTGGTAGAATATTTGCCACTTCCTCTTATTTATGCATTGATCTGATGCTCTGCATGGTTTAAATGTGAACTGCCTGAGAGTAGAGGCTGCACTTTTTCTTTATTTATTTATTTTTCTGGAAAAGGTAAAATATTTATGTGATTTAGTGTTCAAAAGGTTCACAAGTATGCACAGGGACAAAGCTCTGTAGTCTACCCAGGGACAACCAGTGGGCCCCAGGTGGTTGTGTTTTCTCCTGAAGGTATTTTATGCACGTATAAGCAAGTATCTATATCTATTCATCCGTCCCTGTATGTTTTTTCTCACCCTTTTTACCCAAGTGGTGGCATATACAAACTGTTGAGTACTATGCTTTTTACACTTTACAATATATCTGGGAAATTATTCTTAAACAATATATTAAAAGCTTCCTTGTTTTAATAATTGTTCAGTATCCCATCATATAGATATACCAGAACTTATTTAACCATTTTGCTCTGATGTGCTTTTAAATTTAGCAATGTATTTAGTTTCCTTAGGCTGCCATAAAAAAGTACCACATATTCAGGGGCTTAAACAACAGAAACTTATTTTCTTACAGTTCTGGAATCTAGAAGTCCCACTTGAATGTATCAGCAAAGCTGGTTCTTTCCAAGGCCTCTCTTGGCATGTATATAACTTTGTTCTCCCTGTCTCTTCACATGGTCTTACAAATTTATGTCCAAATTTTCATTTCTTATAAGGTCACCAGACATTTTGGATTAAGACTCACTCTAATAACCAACAACTTAAAATAGTATTTCTAACATATTACAATGAATAACCTTGACATTATATAGATGAGTAGGTTAAACTGTTGCAAATAGAATTGCAAAGTCAAAAGGTATATGCATTTGGGACTTCGATAAACATTGCCAGGTCACTTATCCTAGGCATGGGACCAGTTATACACCCTCTAATACTAGCACCCATTAGCATAGTCTATTATCAGCCCCCTTGATCTTTTAAAAACCAGATAGATGGAAAATTACACTTCATTGTATGCTGCATTAGTTTTATTTTCCTAATTTTTTTATTATTCAAATACATTTGTCTCCATTTTCCCTCTACAACTTTCCCCTGCCCAACCCACCCCACCTCCCACCCTCAATCTATCCCCACCTTGGCTTTGTCCATTGGTCCTTTATACATGTTCCTTGATTTGACCCTTCCACTTCCTTTCCCCATTACCCCCTCTGTCCATCCCTCATGTTACTGTCAGTTTCTTTTTTCTTTCAATGCTGCTGGTTATATTTTGCTTGCTTACTTGTTTTGTTGAATAGGTTCCACTTATAGGTGAGATCATATGGTATTTGTCTTTACCCCCTGGCTTATTTCACTTAGCATAATACTCTCTAGTTCCATCCATGCTGTCCTGAAGCATAGTAGCTCTTTCTGCTGTGTAGTATTCCATTGTGTAAATGTATCGTATTTTCTTGATCCACTCATTTACTGATGGGCACTTAGGTTGCTTCCATCATTTGGCTATTGTAAATTGTGCTGCTATGAACATTGAGGTGCATAGGTTCTTTTGAATTGGTGTTTCATGATTCTTAGGGTATAATTCCAGCAGTGGAATTGCTAGGTCAAAAGGCAGTTCCATTTTTAGCTTTTTGAGGAAATTCCAGCCTGTTTTCCACAGTGGCTGCACCAGTCTGTATCCCCACCAACAGTGCACTAGGGTTCCCTTTTCTATACAACCTCACCAGCACCCATTGTTTCTTGATTCATTTATGATGACCATTCTGACCGGTGTGAGGTGGTATCTCATTGTGGTTTTAATTTGCATTTCTCTGATAGCTAGTGATGATGTGCATCCTTTCATATGTCTTTGGGCTCTCTGTATATCCTCCTTCAGATCCTTTGCCCATTTTT